CCGCAACCCTAGACACCCACCCCCAACCATACTGAGGCCGTGGGAGGCCCTTCTTTATTGACTGAATGGATAACCGGAGGACGCCTGTAAGAACCAGCTTTTAAAAATGCAAGTCATTGTACATGTTTTAAATTCCATTGGAGGTGGTGAACTACAAACTAGTGGTTGAACCTATCTGAGTATTCCTCTAACACTCTTCTCTACCTTCTGATTTGATCGATTTTCCAACTTGTCCGAAACTGTCCACAGCGGACGGGCAGCAAACCGTCAAATGCCAATCCGGCTGGTATGCACCTTCCCGGTGTGCCCGAACTGACCACCGAAAAGCAAGAGGAATTCCTGAACGCACTGAGAGCCAGTATCGAGTTCTTTGTGAATCGAATGCAAAGCAATAGTCAACGCGGTCGAAGTATCGCAAACGACACGACTGTCCAGGCCCTATTTCTCACACTGCATGAAATGCATCCACAACTGTTGCAGCAGAAACAAGCCATGGAAGATCGTCGGGGTGAGTGTTTGACTGACCTCTCTATTCCGTTATCTATGTCGAGGTGGGCTTGTGTATGTACACTGTTCTCACAATTCCACTTCTATGTGGATATACCGATTGAAAACACACCGAAGAACATCCTCCTTGTCAATTCCCCCCTCCCCCACTGTCCCGCTCATTCGTCTTTCAATAGTGTTACTAATATGCTACTCACGGAACGCAGACTCATATCCGTCTTTCGGATGTGATCTATTTTGTTCTTCCCATACATTATGTGGATTTTTATAGACTCAGTCTTTTACTATGGAAATTTCTTACATTGTCACGCGTCTCGTATCTCATAGGATATTTCCACAGGTGAATCATTTCACGGTCACATAACAAACAGCTCTGGATGTGTATTTCACATACTTCTGGATCCAGACATAGTGCAATAATCTTTCTAAAAAAGGGTATTCCACGGTTTTGGTTATGAAAATATCACACGATGTAACATAATTCTAATGTCTTATGTATTCTCATTAGTGTTTTAATGCGACGGAATACAGCATTTCATGAGGTTTCTGCTTAAAGGATTTCACAGTTGCTGCATAGAAAACGCGGTATGGGAGTGCGGTCTAGGGGTATGTGTGTGTGTGTGTGTGTGTGTGTGTCGGGGGAGGATGGGCTGCACATTCTGTCGGCAAAAGATTGTCACCTGCATTCCAGTTGACGTTTTTTAAACAGTAACTCGAAAGGATGTCCTCGAACGTTAGGTGATAGTGTTAGCCGCGGGCGACACCGATGTTTTGGGTGTGTCCGGTTACTAGAATTGCAAGTCGCATTTTCACGGCAAATAATTCATCTGATCGGATGTTGGCCCCCGATTAACTGCGGTCTCCACACGCCGTCACACAGCCTTTCCGAGTCAGGCATTAAGCTCGTTTGTGCCATGTATGCGTGTAAAAATTAAAATCGTAGTAATTTTATCTTCTTCAATGAGAGTAGCATGTTGTCAGGTTGTAATTTTTCCAGCCGAATCATCACCCTCTAAGGCTCGGGCTGTGGTGGATCACGTGCGCTGCCGGAGCGATTTCGCGATGGCCGTTTGTGCTATGCGGTGNATGGACAAAATAACGAACAGCCTGCGTTCGACCTGTGCTGAGGTTCCGTTCAAAAGTGCACTGTGCACTGCTGAACCATACCCGCTATCACTGGTTTTATAACCCGTTGCAGCACGAAATTTGCGACCCGATCGATGACCAGCAAGCCCCTGGAAAAAGGCAATGCATTTAGCCGGAGGAAAGAAATTTTTATCACCTGATTCGTAAGCTGCGTTCGATACAAAACTCTTTTCACTCCAATATCCTACATATCACTCAAACAGATGCGACTGATCAATGTGATATAAATAAACCTAAGTTTAAATATGAGCACATGATTTGACTGTAGTTCTCACTCACTGTTTCCGGCCAACTGAATGCTCACGTACAGCTATGATCGATTGTGTGTAGGAGTGGGGTGAAATGTTACGAGTGTGTGCTGGTAATACGTGACCGAGCCTGTGATGTGATATTTACGCTAACGTGCCGTTCAATTTTTTCCGGCTTAAAATCATCTGGAGCATATCACTCATTATTTCCAAAACAAATCTCGTCCACATAATTGAGTTCAAATGAGTGAATAATTCCAATTGATTCATTAGGAAAAACAGAGATGTGGCGAATAAGCTTGGTTTCAGTGCTTTATCTACTAGCCAATTACAAGACATTATATAACTCAGGGAAATAACACGGGAGGCAGTTAGGTCAGGGTTTTACTATGTGTAAAATGGAAGTTCACGGGTTGGGAGGCAGGGAGGCGCAAGTTATGTGGGTTGCCTGACCGATCGGATGAGAGAACACCACTCAGCTTGGCTCAGTCGGTGACCGATAAAGGCAGGTGCGAGTGCGGTTGTTATACATCTGTCCGAGACGGATCACACCGTGGATTTTCGGGAATCGTTCTGTTCAATCTATTTACTGACGGGGATTCGGTCTAAGGATGTGAAAGCCCGATTATTATCTACAGCAGAGACGATAGTAATTACAATAAACAATGCCCCCTTATGTACACACAAACAGGTCGTTAAATTCCTCTCCCTCCCATGATCGTGTACCCGAAGTGCCCCCACCTAACGCTTGAGTCGAATATTCACACTCCGCAAGGGATTATTACCAGTTGTGCGATCAGTGTGAATACATCTCCCTCCCTCCCAACCCATGAGCTTCCATTTTACATATACTAAAACCCTGATTTGATTGTCTCCCGTGTTATTTCCCTGAGTTATTTAATGTGCTGTAATTGGCCAGTAGATAATTGATTTCGTTATTGTTGTTATTCTTGCTATTGTTGTTTTTCTTCATCATCTTGGTCACCGTTACTGGTATCCTCCTAACCTTGAATTCTACCGTTCCAATTCTACCACCGCCACCACCACACAAATTGTATGGTAGGAAGCTTCATTGTTGTCTGACCCAATCCTCATTTCGTTTTTAGATTCAGAGGGAACGTCGGAAGATCATTATCTTCTGACGTTTCGTCTCAGACTCAATCCTGAGTCAACTATACACATCGGAAGCTTTGGAGTCAAATTTTAGTCCCATGAAAAATCATCAGTAATGCATATCCACTGCCGCGTCGGAGCTTTGAACTGCAGATGGCCGGTGTGTGTGTGTGTTTGTGTGCCCATTATACCAGTCAACTCCCACCCGGGGCTGAATAGAATTGCCAATTCGTTAGTTCCGCTGTTATCGTCACTGATAACCAGTAGGCTCATTTTTTTGGTCTGACGGCAACAAACGGAGACATGGTTGGCCAACTCCAATGGAAATCCTTTCACTTAATCAGTCTTCCAGACACTTTCGAACTTGTTCGCCACAGACCTACTAGACTGAGTTTGTAATTCACAGTTACTTGCCAGTAGTGGTGTGGGATGTTTGATATTGAGTTGAACTGAACATCCTTCAAACTTCGTCTCCACGCCCAATCTTCAGTTGATCCAGTCGACCATACATTGGGGAGGCAATAGACTCGAGGATGGCTCTATGGGCTTAACCAGTTGTGCTATTATCTGCCACAAAACAAAACGATCCAAACGTACCTATCGCATGCTTCCCATCACAAACAAACACCCACACATGAGCCTGATCGATGGTAGCAAGAATTAAACTCGTAATCACGAGGGAATACTGTTCGCTAATGAGTACCAGCGGACTGAACCCTTGCTGACTTGAGGTCGCAACTCTGGAAATTCGAGTAGAATAGGATTAGTAACAAGGCAGTCTGCCATTGGACGGTCACTCTCCTCCTGGTCTATTCGATCGCACGATATCACGACACACAGCGAATCAGTGGTTTAGTCGTTACCGACACGCTTTGGACCCTGTGGTCCGCCACCCAACTTTGGTGGTAGACAGTTTTGTTGTCCGCAGGTTCACCACCACACCTAATCTGGTGATCCCCTATATGGTTCGCTACTCCAAGTCCCGGTACCTGGGTTTCCATCACAGAATCACAGGTTTATGCGACTGTGGGGTTCACCCCGTCTGCTGTTCATCCAATGTATATTTAATAAAATAAAACCTTGCTATCTCGTGGGCTACTTCTATTTGTTTCTCTTGTTTTGCAGCCTATTTTGAAGGACTGCAAGACAAACTTACGCAGTTACGGGAGGCGCGTGAAGCGTTGGATGCATTGCGACAAGAGCATGCCGCGAGACGGCAGCTGGAAGAACAAGAAGCGGCACGTCTTAGACAACTGCAGATGATGCAAAAATTGGAAGTGATGCGTCAGCAGAAACGGGTACGTTCTCTCCTGGTTGACCGATTTGCTTGCATTATGGCAAAACTGTGTTAGTCTAAGTGCTTAGCCTGTCATCATCCCACAACTAAAACCTGATAGGCCGACAGTTTTTAGACATCACTGTTCACCGGTGATCAAAACTCGCTGCAATCTGTCACATGCTCATGCAGTGTAACTTTATCATTGTTAGCGCCACCATTCTCGTGTCCTAATAAATGTTTTTGGGATACCAAGTGGACAGATAATGGACAAATCACTTGTGAGAACCAGTCACTCAAGACGAACGAACCTAGGCTCTCATT